TTATTAACATTATCTGTCTGCCAGCAGGAACAACTAGAGCCTGAGCAAAGATGTTTCCTACTTTTCAATTTCTTTATTTAATTAACCGAGGTAAAATTGTTCTTCGTTAATTAATTTTACCTGAAAAAGACTCAGGACAAACTGAAAAGGTGCCATATTATTAATATCTTGCTGCTTAGTCATGTCCAAGTTCCCTTGCTGTTTTAAAATAACATAATCTGGAGTTGGCAAATGCTGGTAAATCATCATGTCCGTTCCCATGCAGGGCTAGGTTTGCTTCTCGGAGAGCATTATCAAATGCTTTGTTATCCATTCTAATTTTAAACAAATATGTTTAGCTGATTAAATTTCTTCATGCTAGACAGAGACTCTTCTTCTCTTTAGTAGACTGCAGACTTTTTCTAACCTTCGGGAACTCCTTGGCTGGACGTTTTCAAGAGGAGGTTGGATAAGCATCAGACAGGGATGCTTTAGGAATGGCATTCCTACATGAGTGCAGGAGGTTGGACCAAATGATGCTTGAGATCCCTTACAATTTTATAATTCTATTATTCTAATTCCAATCTGTGTTTTTCAGTGTGCTGTCTCGCATAGTGGGTACATATGCCAAGGAGACTTGTAATAAATCTTAACTATCTGAAATGAATACAGTACTTTCATAAATTAGATACACACAGCTCTGGGATCACAGTGACAGGATTCATTTGCTGTTACTTTCTTGTAATATCACGTCTTGGTTGCAGTACAGGAGAACTTAACAAACTTTCACTAAAGATTTGCATGACCTGCTGGAAATACTGAATATTATGAATTATAAACCCTGCAAAAGTGAAAGAAGCTATCAGGTCTATAGCTTTTACTGTTAGCCCCCTGGCTCAATCCCACCAAGGACAAATCTTCACTAGTAGAGCCCATTACATTGGAAACTCCTTTTCATTTCACTGTTCGTCTGCTTGCTCCATTGCACTTACTGTCTATACCATGGTTTAGAGCAAAAGGTATTATATGGGGAGCACTGTTATTTTGGGGGTTAGTAACATTTAGTGAGCTGTCACCATATTTCAAGATGAGAGCAAGGTGTTTTGGAAATTGAGCATGGAGACTTCTTTAGGAGCAGAACATGAGAATTGATGAGTTTCCCCTTCCTTGAGAAATTCTTAGAGTATTGACTTAGGAGACAAATGCCTGATAATACTTTGGTCAGCTCCAGTAAGAGCCTGAGACTGCAAGATAGCTCTGTGTGTTTTGCCACTGACTTGCTGTGTGTCCATAGGCATCCCATTTAACTTCACTGCACCTCAGTTTCTCCACCTGTGAAATGGGGGTAACAGTAGCTTTCTTGTGAGGAACAATACATGTTACCCAGTAAAACATTTTTGAATCCCTGGATTTTCCTATTATTGTGTAAATTGTATTTGGCCCCTATCCACAAGAAACTTGAATGTTCCCCACAAATGTCTTTGAAACACATTTTATTGTGAGATAGAAAGAAATGGGCCACCTGTTTCAATAACATGGACAATAAAAGGGGAAAAACGTAAGTCTGTGGGGAACATAGATTTGGATAACGCATATTCCAAAGCAAACTGAGAAACAGTAACCTTTGCATGTAGATGTTTAGAAGTAATCTATGTTTAAATTGACTGACACCTCCAAAGCCCAGAAAAAAAACAATAGGTAGGTTGGACTTCTCAACAGATTCACAAGAGGGGCCAAAATGCAGTAATAGCCAGGAAAATAAGTACAGCTGATTGGTTAGCTGATCATTAAGCTTTCTTCGGCCTCATCCCTCCTGTGTGACTAGGGGTGCTGTTTTCTCTCTCCCTGACCTCTCACAGTGCAGCAAGGAATAAGATGCTGGTGAGATGGGTGAGAGGGTTTGAGAGGGTGTCTGTACTGCAGCAGGGCGGTATGTCTGCAACTGCTGCCTCTTTCCACCTTTCATGAAACTCCCTCAGTTGGATGCATTTCATTGAAACTAAACATTTTTCTCTCTAAGCATCCCTCTTCATAGTGTTCAAGTGCCAATGACACCAAACTTTCGGGCAAGGCATCCACACCAGAAGACAGGAGGGCGATTCAGGCTGACCTGGAAAGGCTCAGCAAATGGGCGGACGAGAACCTGATGGTGTTTAACACTGAAAAATGCAAGGTTCTCCACCTTAGGAGGAAAAACCTTCAGCATCCTTATAGGCTCGGCAGTGCTACGCTGGCTAGTACTACGGAAGAAAGAGACTTGGGGGTCATCATTGAGCGCAAGATGAACATGAGCCTTCAATGCGATGCTGCAGCTAGTAAAGCCACCAAAATGCTGGCTTGCATCCATAGATGCTTCTCAAGCAAATCCCGGGACGTCATTCTCCCATTGTACTTGGCCTTGGTGAGGCCGCAGCTGGAGTACTGCGTCCAGTTTTGGGCCCCAAAATTCAAAAAGGATGTGGAGAAGCTTGAGAGAGTCCAGAGAAGAGCCACGCGCATGATCAGAGGTCAGGAAAACAGACCTTACGATGACAGGCTGAGATCTATGAGGCTCTTTAGCCTGGAAAAGCGCAGGCTCAGGGGTGACCTGGTGGCCACCTGTAAGTTTATCAGGGGTGACCACCAGTATCTGGGGGAACGTTTGTTCACCAGAGCACCCCAAGGGATGGCAAGGTTGAATGGTTATAAACTTCTGTAAGACTGTTTCAGGCTGGACATAAGGAAGAATTTTTTTACTGTCCAAGCCCCCAAGGTCTGGAATAGTCTGCCATAGGAGGTGGTTCAAGCACCTACATTGAACACCCTCAAGAGTAAATTGGATGCTTATCTTGCTGGGATCCTATGTCCCCAGCTGACTTCCTGCCCTTCGGGCGGGGGGCTGGACTCGATCCTCCAAGGTCCCTTCCAGCCCTAATGTCTATGAAATCTTTGATGGGTTGGGCCCACAAACATGAAGGAAAAATGCTGTCTTTCTTTTACAATTTCCATATACAAATTGTAAATTTCTTCTGCCTGAAGTTTCCAAATTTCCTTAAAAGTCTATAAGAGTGAGAGAAGAGAGCAGGAGATGCACTAGTAACATAAATAAGCAGTCTGTCAGAGTTTTAAAGTAGGGTATGCTATAACTAATAACCCCGGAGAATCAGATCTTATTATGTAGCCAAACTATTTCTTCAAAGAACTTCAAGGAATCAAGGGTGAAAACTCTTCATTTAAGTATTATTTATACAGACAAAACATTTTTGAAAAAATCTTGTGTCAGATCTCCAAGTGCTGTGACACTAATTTGGCTTACAGTAAGATTTAACAAATTTTAGTCAACACACAGGGCTGAAACCTTGCTATCTTGTCATATTGATAAGTTTTGCTACAGCCCCTTCCAGTTGGGGATCTCAAAACTATGTTGACAAATATGAATGAATTTAGCCTTGCAGCAGCCTGTATAGTTGATTAATATTTTATTTATTCCAAATTAGAGTTAAGGAAACTAGGAAACAGCAGGGTTCAATCATGTGCACGTTAACGCAATGACTCATAACTACATAGGTTCATGTCATTTTACCTCTTTGTGTTTCCCTTTCTCTCTGTTAACCACAGAAACTTCCCCACACTTGTAAAGTACCTTTTACTCTTCAGGAAACTGTTATATAAATACAATATAGTAATATCCTCATCAAAGGCTAATCCTTCTGCTAATCTAATGTTCACCTCGTAGATGTGTTAAATATGTCTATATAGATAGATTAACAAAATGATATTATAAGGATTAATTCTGAATGGCCAAAGCTGTCCATTATGTGCGTTTCCCATAATCATTACAAAGGCCTTGCAAAATCCCCTTGCTTGTGGCATACAGGAAGCATTCTAAGATGCATGCCCACAACCACTGCAGAATCCAAACTGTCATGTGAAAAACAATGTCTTGCCCTTATGGTCACCAAGAGGAGATGCCAAGTGCTGATGCAGTGCTCTCTGCCTAGCTCCCCAGACAGACTGTTCCAATGCTTCTTTTATTACTCTAGGCTTGGAAAGCCGCAGCAATGTGACAACTGACTACAGTCTTGCCAATGAGTCCACACTGCTGATGTGGAGAGCAGGTCTACACTGCAGCTGTAGCCATAGCTCATGCAGATAAGCCAGTTTTAAACTAATGAATTAGCTCAGGTACTGCTAAAATTGTAGTTATCGCAACATGAACTGTCAAACTTTCCCTCAACCTTGGAGAGAGACCCAAGTGGCTAGTCTGCCTTGAGTTCAATTACCAGCATCACAGTTGGCTGGGGGTGCCTATATGAATTGCGGTCACAGCATTGACAGCAGAGTGGATACACCATTACCATCAAGGGATCAGCAGGGAAAGTCCATTTCATTTGGATTG